AGGGGACAAACCCCCCAGATTAGGAAAGATCATGTTTGGCACAATCTACCACAAAGAGCTTCTGCAGGTGTCTTTGGGTCTCTGGCTGTCTCAGATGGACATAACCTTAGCTAGAGGCTGGAGCTACCAAAACCCTGATTATGAGGGTCCAGGGAGCTCATCACTGCCCTTGTCTCCACCCTAGGCTGTGGCTTCTTATTACATTGTCAGGGGTCCAGCAGCAAATGATTGCCAGAAGACAGAGCCATGGAAGTAAAGGTGTTTGACTCACACCAGGAGCTCCTCGGACACATTACAGACTATAGGGCTGCCCTTCCTCCCTCCCCCAGTCTCCTCCACTGACTTGGAGATATGAACAAACCAGTGAACAGCAGATGGTGTAGGTCTGTGAGCTGGAGTCTCGGTGTAACTGCTCCTCACATCACTGTAACCTTGGACACAGTCAAGGACCTTGGTGACAGTCCACTGTATCTAACAACTCCCCCTGGGGCCGGAGGCCTCCAGATTCCAGAGCTCTTCCCAAGTCAGGAGTTGGCCATGTCTGTCTTCCTTCCTTCCTTCCTTCCTTCCTTCCTTCCTTCCTTCCTTCCTTCCTTCCTTCCCTCCTCCCTTCCCTTTCCTTCTTTTCCTTTCCCTCCTTCTCTTCCTCTTTTTCCTCCTCTTCTTCAAGACAGGGTTCCTCTGTGTAGCCTTGGCTGTCTTAGAACTCAGTTTGTAGACCAGGTGGGTCTATACCACCCATGTTTTCTAGAAACGATGAGACAGTATTTTAGGCTCTGTAGCCCACAGGGCTCTGCTGCAACCCTTCAATGCTGAGGCTGGAGCTCCTAAGAGCATAGACAGCTGTGTCCCAAACAAATTCAGCTATGGACATTAAACTTGGACATTTTCATGTGCCACAAAATATTATCCCTTTGATTCCCCCCTCCAACGCTTTCACTGAATAAAAACAGATCCTAGATCATGAACTGTAGGAAAGCCAGTAGTGGTTATAGCTGGCTTGCAGGTGAGTTTACCAACTCCAAAGTACTTGCAGCTCTTCCAGCAAAACTTAGATGGTCCCAGCCTTGCACAGCTCATGGCTTCTCCTGCTAACCAGACAATTTTCTCACCTCCCAGGAGGACGACAACCTTATGTTCCCCCCACAGTAGCCCTGCCATTCTGGTTTCTCCTGTTCTTCGGCAGTAACTGGACTAGAGGGGACTGTGGAGAAACTCCCTTCTCCTCTAGTTACAAACTCGGCCCGGTGTATTTCCATCCATTCTCTCTGCCAGCTATGCCTCTCTGGGCTTTGCCAAGGCACCCAAGCATCTACCCGCTAGGGCAAGCTTCATCACTCCTTTTCCACTGAGTTCCCAGTCCTGGCGCTGGCAGAGTTCCAATCCCTTCTTTATGAAGGGAGACGTCATATGTGAGAAAAGCTTCAGTGAGGCCAGCCAGGGGTGAAGCTCCAGAGCAGGGGTTGTAAGCTGGGCTTGAGATAGGGAGAGGGCAGGCAGGGATGGAAGGAGACTGGCAGAGGTGGGCAGGCCAGTGGGCTGCTGACCACCATATGGAGGGAGGAGCAAATCGCAGGAATTGAAGGGTGTGAATGTTGTTAGGAGGTACCCTTCCTGACTTGGAGGACACCATGGCAGAGCAGCTTGAGATATACTAAGTGTGCTCACTGCACCGCCATGTACCTCCGGCACTTGGGAGGAAGACAGCAGAAAGGTGATGAGCTCATGGTCATCCTCAGCTACACAGCAAGCTTGAGGCCAGCCTGGGCTACATGGGACCTTGTCTCAAACAAAACCAAACTGGCCCCCAGCAAGAGCCTCCCAGTTCTCTCTTCTAACTCAGCCCCGTGAGCTAAGTCCCTTTTTCCATTCACTTGACGAACACCATTCCTCATAAGGACCAGTCACTCCCAGGGCAAGAGGAGGGAGGGTACCCTGGCCTAATGCATGGTAGAGGCGGGAAGACACAGACACGCACACAGAACTGCACCCCAGGGCGGAATGGGGATGCATTTTGTTCAGGCCAGGGAGAGGTACTGGGCCTAGGGGACAGGGGACCATGGACAAAGTACTGTCAAAGAGAAGCAACTGGACAAAGATTCAAAGGACAGGTCATTTGGACCTGTGTGACATTAGGGAAGGACAGGCTGCCCAATGTGAGGTGACTGTGAGAAGAGGTGCGGCACGAGCATGGGGGGGGGCAAGGAGAGCATCAGTGTGTTTTCTGGGGAGGCGCCATTGACTGACAGACAGCCATGTCCCGCCCGCAGCCTCCTGTGACCGACCCTTTACCCAGGTTACTTCCTATCAGAGCTAGTGGCTTTACTCAAAATTAGGGGCAGATGGCAAAGGTCAGGGGGAGGCCTTAACTACATAGCTCCCCTTGCCGTTGCTGGAAGGCCCTGTTAGAACAGGACAGCATTGGTAAACCAGGCATGGCGGCAGCACCAAGTGCCTGTAACCCCAGCACTCAGGGTGGAGGCAGAAGGATCAGGAGAGCCAGGCTAGCCTGTGCTACATGAAAGTCTGCCTCCAAGGAAGCAAGTAAGTGAAGTTTAAAAATAACAGATAAATGTCATTTGTTAATCATTTTTTAAAAACGGAAACCCACACAAGAATGACTACCTCACCCACCATCAACCTATTAAGCGCTTAGGAGTGAGAAAAATGGCAAGCCCTTGAGGTTTTCCTTCCCTTCCCCGTGCAGGGTCCACTGTCTTAGCATGCGAGCCTTCAGGCCTGAACAAGGAAACTATTCATCCATGGAGAATGGGGAGGAAGCCACTTCCTGTCTCTCCCCGTCCCAGCCAGGCCAGGCCAGGCCATGGCTTTCCATCCCAGGCTGGGAGAAAGGAGCTGATAAAGGCCCATTGTGACAGTCTCACAAACTCACAGGCCATCAGGGGCTAAGAAGCCACTTAACAGCTTTTGAACATTTGTAAAAAGAATTATTCTGCGGAAGTGAAGGCAGAGAGAGGCCCTAAGGTTGCCACGGGGATGCACCTCTGCCACCCTCGATAGGGAGTCTAACCGGGAAGCCAGCAGGGGCTCAGCGTGGCCTGCCACACCATGGGCTGACCTGAGGCAGGAGGGACTCAGACACCAACAACAGGCCGCTTTACACATCAGGGCGCCTGGACACCTGGAGATGAAACCCAATCTCCTGCCAAATGCAGGAAACACAAGGGTCCTTGAAAGGGCCTGAGGGAGAGAGGAGCCTCCAGCCTCCTCCTCCCAAGGGTGTCCAAAGTAATAAATGGCAGGAAAAGAGGAAGGCTGTAGTGCGGATGCCGGTCTGGAACTTATTAGGAATTAGGCTTTTTCTGTTGCAGTCTTCCATGTGCTTGAGTCAGGCACCTCATCATTTGCAGGCCTCCGGAGTCTTAGAATCAAATGCACAAGCAAGAAGAGATAGGAGGTCTGAGACTGCAAGAGACACCCAGGTGAGATGGGAGACTCTAGTGCCAGCTTTGAGGGCCAGGAGCTCATCACTTTTGTGTTCCTTGGGAGGAAGAGACCAGGTTCTTCTGCATGGGCCTAGGGAAAGGTCTATGAAGAGTACAGTGTCGCAAGATTCTTTCAGCTCCACCCCAAATCTGACCAGCTGTTCAGCCTGGCCCTGTGGGAGAGGAATTGCAGGGTCCAGGTTAGACAGGCACTTGGCGGGGGTGTCTTCCTAAGGGCCCCTCTGTAAGGCCAGGTGGTGAAAGGGGGTTTCCCACCTTGTTCCTAAAAATATGAGGCGGGTGGTAGGTTCCATTCACTTCTCAGCCCTACATCAGCTCTCCATGATCTAAATGCATGCATTTCATATCCCTCAGATGCCAAGGCATTGCCAATCCCACCAGCAAAAGTGAAGCAGTATAACCCACTGCAGAGAAATTCAAGCCACCTGATATCTAAAAACCAAAGTAGAGGACAGGAAGGAATCTGGGCATGTGCATCTGATACCAAATGCAACTCTCCTGCCAGGAGAGCAGTGTCCTGAGCTGGCAGAGCAACCCTGTTTGTAGTGATACTAAAATACAGAGGACAATTAACCTCTTCCCCCTGCCTCACCTCCTATGAACTCATTTATGACAGACGCATCAAGGTTTGGTACCAAGGTTCACTTCAGGATGGGGTGGGATCCACCACACACCACTAGGCACTTTGTAAAACCAAAGCATTTTCTGTCCTGCTGGATATTCCTCCCCTCCTGGTGATACAAACACACACTGTGCTGGGACACTGATCCTCTCGCTCACACAAATTGAAAACACACCCGAAGGCAGCTGGAAGGTCTTGGTGTCATTTATTGACAGCAGTGTTGTCTTCTCTTGATTGCTTCCTTCGGAGCACCGGCCCACAGCCCTTGGGAAGGAAGGGCAATCTTTTAGAGAGGGAGAGGGAAGGCAGATGCACAATGTCCTTGGCAGGTGTGCTGAACCCCGGCAGGATGCAATCCTTCAAGCTGGAATCCCATTGGGCATTTGAGAGGACCAATGTGGGGAGTGGAAAGGAAGTCAACATCTCAGTCCAGGCCTCTTGTACTAGTCCAAGTCCATCCCAGTTTTAGGACTCTGGCGGGGGCAGCAAAGGTAGGACCACCCACCTTGATGGGCAGATTCTTCAGTCCATGTCCTGTTCCCATACACCTGTTTCCGCTGGTCAGTTAGAGGGAACGGGCCTTACAGTTAAGACAGACCACTTCCTCTGGCCCTCCCCAGCTGCCTCTGTGTAGGTTCAAATGGCTGGAAAAATTGAGAGCTTGCCTTTCTGTTCAACTGTGTGTACCACTGTCCTCAAATCTTGAATATATGACAGGATGGAGGCTATAGTTCTACTCAGGCTGCCAGCCATGCTACCGTCTGTCACACACTGCCCTGCCTTTCTTCTGCCAGTTTTCAGTGCCTAGGGTAGGCAGCCAGGCTCCAAAAGGCTCAAAGCCAGTTTGCATAATCATTGGGCAATTCTGGATATGAAAGTGGATTTAAAAAAAAGTGTGGGACAACAAAAGCTTCATTTGATAATTAGAGACCTGAAGTGATTTTGCTTTTATTTCCTTCATGTTAAGCCAATCATGAAATTTCACAGTGATTTCTAGGGTGGGGTAGAAGGAAAGCATATTCAGAATAATTGAGGCCACAGTCTGGTTAGCCTGAGAAGGTGCAAGTGGGGAGGCCTCACTGGGGAAGCTGGAGGAGCACCGACTGCCCTGCTGGCAGGTAGGTGATGTTGCGAGAGCGTGAGAGCTGGTAAGCAATGTCCTCGGCAGCTTCCAGCTTACGCAGCTCAATCAGGCCATCCCCTGCAGTGGCCAGGGAGTTGGCAATCAGCTCAGCTGCCTTGGAGTCACCTTCAGCAGAGATGATGGCTGCCTTCTTCTGCTGCTCAGCCTATGGGAGAGTAGGTAAAGATTGCGATTATACTATAGCATTGCTTGTCAGGTTCTGGCCTAACCAGGACCAACTCAGGCACCCTGGGAAAATCCTCCCCTCACAATGGAGTCATTACTGTGTAGCCAGCCCTCCTGTTTCCCTTCATGCCACTTGCCATTGTAGGACACACTTCTCTTGGCTGTATAGACACAGCCATTCCTACTCTGATGCAAAGTCACGGAAAACAGAAAAGGAAAGTTGGAATCAATCCTCATGCCCATCTTTCCCTCCAGCACAAAGTCAAGGACTTCCATCAAAGCCAGGACATCCAGGTGCTGGTGGTTAACAACTGTAATCTTAGCAGTGTGGCAGACTGGAGGATCACTGCAAGTTTGAGGCTAGTCTGGTTTACACAGGACATTTTAGGTCAACCAGGGCCACAAACAAAACAAAACACAACCCTAGCAGAACTGGCTGGGTGTAGTTCAGTGACACAGTACTCTCCTAGTCTGCACAAAGCCCTGGGTTTGATCCCTAGTACTGCAAATAAACCAAGTATCCAAAAGAGCTCCAGAGCACAGTATGCTCCCATGTCTCTCATTGGAGTTGCCTGTGGAAAACTCTACAACCGGCACCCAAGGATGTCCTTGGCTTACCCTACCAACACCAACAGGGTGACACCTCTCAGGGTATGTGACTTTCAGAGCGTGCGAGGAGAGTTTGTTCATAAGACTCCAAAATCCTCTACTTTGGTGCTGGACAGAATTCCAGCACATTGTAGCTGGGTAAGCTCTCAGTCACCGAGGTACATTTTTAACTAACACCCAGTTCAAAATGGTAAGCTATCTGTTCACCAAATGTTTATTATGCACCCAACATCACCAGGCAGTGCCTGACCTCTTACAGGCCCTGGAGCCACAGTAGACACAAAGCTAACACACTCAGGGTTTATGCTTCCTACAACGAAATGCCTCTTGTAGATTTTAACAATTAAACATCCTTGGATTAGGAAAACCAGCAGCACGGAGAGGCAGATAGCAAAGAACCTTTACATACACCAGGAAGAACAGGCCACTATGCAAACACACTGTGTTCTACTACTCTCTCACACATCTGGATGGATTCAGCAACAGGAAAAAAGAAAAAAAAAAAAAAAGATAGCACATCTGGCATGTTTGATCTTCTCTGCTGACAGTTTCACTGTGTAACTATGGCGTAAAAGTAACTCCTCAGCGATGCTGAAAATACTCCAGGAGTAACACTTTTATGTACAGGGGAGGGTTTCTGATCTTGGGCAGGTAGGGAAAAAGTGACCCTCAGTGATTGAGGAGCATAATCTCATATCCCTGACAGCTCCCAAAGACTCTGGAACTGATTGCAGGAGTAAGGTTCCCTCCACCTCTTCTGGTTATTCCAGACAGATGACAGATGATGAATTTCTAGGCCACCCAGCAGATGGGGAAGCTGAGCACAGGAGAAGGGGAAACTATTCCTGCCATCTGGTTGAGCGCTCACCTTTTCCACCACAAATCTGGCCCTCTCCGCTTCCTGCTGAGCCACCTGTTTGGCTTCCACTGCTTCTGTGAACTCCTTCCCGAAGGTCAGATGTGTCTATGGGGAGAAAGTGAACACAAGCTGAGGCAGTAATTGCTTAGACAGCATTGCTTGGAGGCTTCCCTGGCCACTGGAAGGAAGAGGCCAGGAACGGCTCTAGCAGCAGCTGGACACAGGGAGACACTCTCCCACTTCCATACCCTCATTCACACCTCTGTATGCTTAGTGCCTCACACTGTGCCTACACAGAATTTTGTCACCCTACGAAGAAAGTGGCACCTGGGGCTTTTGATGGGGCCCATGGACACTACAAAGGATCTATTCAATCAATCACCTCCCTAGAGGAGACTTGTGGGTTCCAAGACCCCCATGACTGACTATTGCTCTTCCAAGATCCTTTGATGCCCTGTTCCAAGACTTGGGTCGGGGGAGGCAGATGGAAAACTGAGCCCCTGAGAACAGGGGATACAGCTGGTTCCCAGGGATGCAAGAGTATGATGCTCTCTGCTTATGGATTAACCAGTCCACTTCCTTCTCACAGCATTTCCACCCCTCGACAGGAAGACAAAGAAGGTGGTATGCAAATCATGGCATCCTCAACACACAAGTAGTTCTGGTAAAGGTTTTAAGAGAAAGGCAGGTAAAGCCATTGGTCAGGGTGAAAGACCTTCCTAATCACATAAATAGCTGTGGCTATTTGGCTAAAGTGACTGTCTCTAAAGACAGTACAGAACAGGGAATAGACCTCGATGCTCCTAAGACCTAGCCCAGAGCAAGTCAATGCACCCAACTTCTCATTGAAAAAGAAGGCACAGGGGCTGGAGAGATGGCTCAGTGGTTAGGGGCATTTGTTGCTCTTGTAGAGGACCCAGGTTTGAGTCTTAGCAACCATATGGTAACTCATTATTATCTGTAACACCAGTTACAGGGCAATTGATGCATGCATGTGGTACACTTACATACATGTAGACAAAACAAACACAAGTTAAAAAAAAAGAAAGATAAATCTAGGGGAAAAAACTAAAAAACAGCATGGAGTGAAGAAAGACATTGGTTTGGGCACCAAATGCAGTTTGCTTCATTTCCTTCTCCACTCCCAGTTTCTGCTTTTTAAAAATACAAGTAACCTCAAAGGTTAGCAGAGAAAATCCTGGCCCCACAGCTTCCAGAGTTTTTCACGCTACACACCTAAGTCTTTTGGTTTGTTTTGTTTTGAGACAGTCTCTCTGTAGCCCAGGTGGGCTAGAACTTGTGGCAAGACAGGCTGAGATTACAGGCATGGCCAATATACCTAGCTAAGTCTTATACTGCAGCTGCTCAACTCTGTCTGATCCACTCTGGATACTTGTTCAAACGCAGGACAAAGAAATACAACCCTAAGAGTTAAAAAGCTGAATGTGTAATTAAAGAATACAATTTCTTTCTGAGAGGGCCAGCTGAGGGCAGCCAATTCCCCAGGAAATCTAATTTTCTTCTCACACCTCTTAGCTATGGTTTCTTGTGGTCAGCCCACATTTCCCCAGGATGGAGTGTGTGGTCAGAGTGTAGAAAGACGCCAAGTTTTTCTTAGGTTTTACTTCATGCATTCACACAGCCAAGGGGCTATGGAAGAGCCTGGGATACAGCGGCTCTGCAGAGCCAAAGGCTGCAGCCTGGCAAGCTGCCAGTAGAGGGGGCCATATGCCCTTCCCTCGGAGAGACAAGAGCGAGGCCATGCCTAGAGGAGCAGAGGTTGTTCACAGAATGGCTGTTTGAACAGCTGCACAGATGCAGAGGGGAGCCCAGCCTTTCCAAGGTCGCCAGAAGGAACAGGAAGCACTCTGCCTTGCTGCCTGAAGGAAAGAATCACTCCAAGACTTTCCCAGACTCTCGAAACACGACCCCTTCCCCTCACCTCGGTCTGAAACACTATACTGCCTATATTGCTTTCTGTCCAAGTTATGATACCCAACATCACATTAGTACAGAGAACATAAAGTCTCAAGAGGTGAACATACACCTCAGAGGTGTCTCCTGCCCCTCCACAGCAGGCCTGACTACAGGACAGCCACTCACACGCTATCACCTTTAACCAGCGGCTCCCAGGACCCCTTCACTAAGCTGCTGACCCTCAGTGTTGAGGAACCCTGGAGCCAGGCTGGGTCTACTCTAAAGAGAAGACTCAGCTGCTCCCAGGCCTACTACCTGTCAGCCTTTCTCTGTGCCTGACGAGGCCAAAAGAAATCACTTTCTAGGGCAATCAGAGGTTATTTAAAAAAAAAAAAAAAAAAAGTGTGTGGCATATGGAACATAAAGATTGCTCAATCAAAAACAGACCAAAGGCGAAAGCCTCAGGCATCCGTAAGTTTTCACGTTCCACCCACACAGGCAGATATAGGACTCAACCCTGTGAGCCCAGATACAAAGCCAGTCACTAAGCAAGAGAAGAAGCCCCACCCCCTCAGCCTCTCCAAGGATCTTACCAGAGACACATCATCCAGGATGAGCCCAAATGTCGCTGCTCTCTCTGTGAGGTCGTCACTCACCTGCCTGGAGACCAGCTCTCGCTGGGTGATCAATTCTCCGGCATCAAATCGAGCCTGTCCCAAGGGAAGACAGACAGTGCAGGCCGAGTTACTGAAGAAGCAAAAACAACCAGCACACCAACAGTTGCACCCACCTACCACCACCTGGCCATGCGAAGGCCCTGTTCACTCACCACCACCGACTTGAGGATCTCTGTGGTGATGGATGGCAGTACCCGCTCATCATAGTCCTCACCGATGCTGGTGTAGATACGAGGAAGCTGGCTGGCCACCGGCCGGAAGAGGATACGTAGTGTGATGTTGACGTTCTGCAGATCTTATGGTAGGGAAGGCATGGGCATTAAACACAAAACCACGGATGACTTCTCTATTATCTTCCTACTCTAAGCCCACTATGGACCATACACAGAATGTCCGTTAGACCTTATGAGAGGGGTGGCTCGTCTGTCCCTCAGCGGAGTACCCAGAAAAGCACTCAGCACCATGGAGTCAGGAACCACGGGCAGGATGGGGATGCACTAGCTTCTCAGTATACCCTGAAAGTCTGATGAGAGCAGTTCACACGGAGCAACTAAAGAGCACTTGGGGCTATGAACACCTTAAGAGAAAACGTAAGCTAATGTCCAGAATTCTAGAGACAGCCTTTCCAAGGGCTGGTGTGTGTATGCACTCAGGCCAGGAGTTGGGCCTGGGTTACTTGGACCTGGTGGAAACAGCACCCAGAGTCCACTGACCTGGGCTGTGGTACCGCTCTGATAGTTATTAACGATGCAGGCTGATGAAGTCTTAGCCAAACTGAGCGTACCAGCCTGTGAGAGTGGGAGGACAGCACAAACGTGGAGGACTCTGTGAAGAGCGCCTTCACGTACACAGCAGAGCATACCATGGCTAAGTTACCACACTCAGCAGGGCCCACTTCCTGATACCTGAGAGAAGGCGGCAGACCGCACCACAGTGCTCTGACGTGCGAGGAGTTCTGACGCAGTCTAAACAAAGCCCACTGGCAGGGTGAGCTCACAAGGCTCATTACTCACACACACCCAGGGAGACAGGCACACGGACTTAAGTCACCAGCACCAAGTGCTGCCCGTGAGTAGCGTCCTGCCCCAGCCAGGTGGGGGTGGAAAACCCACGAATACACACAGCCTCTGGGCTCTGGAGTCGCCCGTCCCAATTTCTGCAATGCAGGTACATACTGCATCCTTGGCACAGCTGTGAGACAACACAGAAGGAGGAAGTCTAGGAGGAGGATTCTAAATCCAACCTAGTCTCCATTACCCCACTCCACCTTCTAGTTCCTCTTTGCAGCAGGCAGACTTTCTATTCCCCCTCCTCTCTCCTTTGTCCTAACTTCTCACTCTTCAGGTTCTCCAGTCAAGAGTCAGCTCCACTTGCCTCTGGGCTCCACTCGCCCTGGGCCACCTTCTCCTTCCGCTACCACAGCTCATCATCACACCTGCCTTCTTGAGGACTGAGGTCCCAATAGTTCTCTTTTTAGTCAGCCCCGGACTCTAGCCTTCAACCCAGCACCACGCTTGGCACAGCACCAAACATCTGGGGATAGCACTGAAGGCACCGAGTGCTGTCAGCACACCAAGCCCACAAGGCCCTTCTTCCCACGAGTGCCATCTGCTGCCTGCGCTGACTGGGGGAGGAGAATGGTAAGGACACACACATCATTCCAGGCTCTAACTAGAAACCCGGTGGAGTATCTCAGGCACAGGGCAGTAGGGCCAGCCTGTGAGAGAGCAATCTGAGGGCTGCCCCACCGGAACAGAGACTATGGAAAGCAAGGCAAAGGGAAAGCTGTCAGCCACAAGGGTTTGGACAGTCACTCTGGGGAGCAAGAGCTGATGGGAAGGGTCAGCCACGGCAGGAAAAGACAGGGGCAAGAGCTGATGGGAACGGTCAACCACAGCAGCAAAAGACACATTTAGATTTCCTCAAAGTTAGGACAGCAAGTAATTTCTCCCCCTAAGATTTATTTTACTTTATGAGCGTGGATGTCTGGCCTGTATGTAAGTAAGGACACCAAGTGCACGCTTGTTGGATGCCCTGGAACTGCGGTTACAGATGGTGGCATCACCACGTCAATGCTGGGAATAGAACCCAAGCTCCCTGTAAGAGTGACAAGTGCTCTTAACCACTGAGCCCTATCTCCAGCCCCCAATATGAAACTCTTAGGTTGGCCCTTTATAACTATCTCTGAATTTATCCTGCTGCCTGGGTTTACCTTAAAAATATGTATTTCAGTCTACAAATCTACACATTTCTCCGGGACAACCACACTACGAATTCTGTACAATAATTTTTAATTAAATTTTTACTTATTTTGTGTGCATGTGTATGTGTGGGTAGGTGCATCACAGTATATACGGGGAGGTCAGAAGTCAACTTGAAGGACTGTTCTATGCTTCCACAATATGGTTTTTTAGAGATCAAACTCAGACTTGGTGCCAGGAACTTTTATTTGCTGACACAACTCAGTTACCTGAATTCTTTTTTTAAATTAACTTCTAACATACATCTGTGTGCTATGTATTGTATGTGGGTGTGCACATCCAGTTCTCTTCTCCTGACACATCAGACCCGGGGACTAAACTCAGGTTGTAAGGCTTGGCAGCAGGCCTCTCTCTAGTCCTTAAATTAACCATTAAAGTTAGCATGCAAAGTAATGGGTTTTATTATGACATTTCCTTTCTTTTCCTCATGTATCAAAGCTTAGCAAAAAAAAAAAAAAAAAAAAAAAAAAAAAAAAAAAATGATTATGAAGTGCTTTCTGATCCTCCTGCTATAGAATGCTGGGATTACAGGCATCATGCACCATCACACCCAGTTTGTGTGGTCCTGGGAACTGACTGAATCCAGGTACTCCAGCATGCTAGGCACATACTCTACCAACTGAGCTCCACTGCACACACAATGGCATTTTCATACTCGAGTCATTATACTTTGGTGTACTCCTCCTCCAATGCCCTCCATCCCCAGTACTCCTGCTCTCTCCCATACCAGAATTCTTTTTTAGGACAGGCTCTCTCTACATAGCCTTGCCTGGCTTGGAACTCACTATGTAGGCTAGCCTGGCCTAAAGTAACAGAGATCCATCTGCCTCTGCCCCAAGTGCTGGGATTTAAGGTGTGCACCACTCTGCCGGGTCTCCTTGTACCACAAACTTTGTTTTGTTTTTGTTTTTATGAGACAGGGTTTCTCTGTGTAGCCCTGGCTGTCCTGGAACTCAGAGATCTGCCTGCCTCTGCCTGAATGCTGGGATAAAAGGTGTTTGCCATTACTGCCTCTGCCTGAATGCTGGGATAAAAGGTGTTTGCCATTACTGCCTGGCATAGACATTCTGAACCTCTTGCATCCTGGTAGCCCACGGATATTTCTAGGATGAACAGAATGGCAAAGCACACCTCCACATCTCCTTTATCAGCTACAGGCAAGACTTACCTTTGCTACCAGTGATGACTGGTACATTCCGTGGTCGTGAGCGGCAGTCAAAGATAATAGGTTTCTGTACCCAAGGGATGAGAAAGTGAGTCCCTTCCCCTACCACAATGTCCTGTACTCCACGGAATCGGTCAAAGATGACAGCTCTGTGACCAGCATCCACTAGGAAGAAATAATAATGACAGGTCAGAAAAACCTTGCCTCTCTTTAATAAAAAGGGTCCTAACTTTTTTTGCAAGATCCTTGCTTCTATCTTTAAAGTTTGAAAAATTCTGTCTCTCTCTCTGTGTGTTTGTGTGTACCATGATGCCATGTGGAGGTCAGACGGCAACTGTGGAAGACAGTTCTCTCCTTCCACCAAGTGGGTCCTAGGACTTAAAACTCAGGTTATGAGGCTTGGCAGCAAGTGTCTACCCACTGAGTCATCTTGCCAATCCTTTCTGTTGTTTTGTAGAAATAAACTTTCTATGATTGGGAGGGTGCCACATGCATGCCATGACACATGTGTGGACATCATCAGACAATTCTGTGGAGCCTTTTGCTTCTTCTGTCTTGGCACAGCTCCAGGGATAGAAGTAGGGTCACCCGGCTTGTGCTGACCGTGCTTTTACCCACCAAGCCACCTCATCCCTTAATTAATATTTGAATTGTTTAGAGCCCTGCCTCCTTCTCTCATTTATTAGGTTTCCTCCTTCTGTGCTGTCTTCTGAGCAATCACTTCCTGTCCTCTAGGTCTCCCCAGGTACTTCGAGGCTGCTCCTCAGCACCCTTTCTCCTTTAAAGAACTGGCCATTGAATTTCTGATCAAACATCCCACCCCACCTCCCACCTCCCACCAACACAATTCCAGGAACGGCCTCCCAAGAGTTCTATAACTCAGGAGATCTTCAGTAGATGACATGCACATATTAGCTCCAATTTATCCTCATGTTCCCAGAAGCAGGGTCCCCACCATGGGAATCCTAAAGTGTAGATATTCCCATTGGGTTTTTTTGTTGTTGTTTCTTTTTTCTGGAGCCAGGATCTCAGGGTAGACTAGCCTGGAAATCAAGATTCTGTCTCATCCCTCCCCCACCAATTCTGGGAGTATAATAAGGGTATTACTCTATGGGCTTTTTGTTTTGTTTTCCCAAGACAGGGTCTTATTATGTAGCTCTGGCTGCCCTGGAACTCACTATGTAGACCAAGCTGGCTTTGAATGCAGAGATTTACCTGCTTCTACCTCCAGAGTGCTGGGACCAAAGGCAAACACCACTACAGCCAGCTTGTCCAGCATCTAATAGCTGTTTCTCTAACATTTGGAGGGGATATAGGGATGTCCTGTAGACTCAGAGAGAAATTTTAAAATGCTGACTAGTCTAGCTGTATAGATGAAGCCACACAACTATGACATCAAGGTGTGCCTCATGAGCCAAGCAGATTTCTCTCTTTCCCTCCCTATCTGCTTTGACTTTTTGAGACGATGTCTCACTATGTAGCCCAGGTGGGCCTGGAACCTAAGATCCTCATACCTCAGCCTTATAAGTCCTGGGGTTACAGGAGTCTGCCACCACACACTGGCTAAAGTAGTTACTTTGTCCCTTTTCCTATTTGAATTGAGAATTGATCTAAAAAATTTCAGGCTGATAATACTCATCAAAAAGTCTTATAGCTAGAAGCAAGAAGTTCAGGAGTTCAAAGACAAACTGGGCTACAAGAGACACTGTCTTAAAAAGCAAAACAGCAGGATGTGGCTCTGAGTTGCTTAAAGCCACTATACTACGTGTGAGCTGGGTACAGGGGCATATCTTTAATTCCAACACTCAGGAGGAAGGTGTAGCTAGATCTCTGTGAATTCTAGACCACCCTGATCTACACAGAGTTCCAGGCCAGTCAAGAGCTACATGGAAGAGTGTGTCTCAAAAACCCAAAACAAAAACCATAAAGGAGGTATATCAAATCTGCTGGCATTTTGAAAGAGTATCAAAGTTGGAGGGAATCTTAAGAGAAGAACTAGCCAGGTGTTGGTGGCACACACCTTTGATCCCAGCACTTGGGAAGCAGAGGCAGGCAGATCTCTGTGAGTTGGAGGCCAGGCTCCAATACAATACAGAGAAACTCTGTCTCAAAAAAAAAAAAAAAAAAAAAAAAAAAGAGAAGAACTAGTTCAGTCCCATTGTTTGACCAATGAGAAAGCAGAGAACTGGGGGGGGGGGGGGCGTTGCTTGCCTATAAGGACATGCAATACAAAAGAAACCCAATGCATGACAAAAATTAATTTCTCTGTAACCAGCTGAGCAAAACCTTCTTTCTCAGCACAAAGTTTCTCAAGCTGAGAGAATATGCCAAGTTATTTCACCCACATGCAGCAGAAGAGAACCAATGAGATCCTGCCACTCTGCAGAGGCATCTGGGTAATAGAGCGTCACTTCAAACTGGCTAAAGCTCTAGAAACATATAGCAAGCAACTGGATAGGAGAGCTCCTCTTGAACAAAGGCTCTGAGTCATCAGCCCTCAACCTGAGGGCCTCTTTGTGTGTGTGTGTTCGTTCAAACAACCCTTTCACGGGGGTCACCTTAGACAATCAGAAAACACAAATATTTACACATTCTGTAACACTACTAAGTGGAAATAGAGGTTACATTATTAAGTAGTAGATTCATAACAGCAAAACTATAATTATGAAGTAGCAACAAACCTAATTTTATAATTGGGGGGGGTCACCACTCATCAACAGAAAGCACCACCCCACTCAGCGCCTCACCATTATATAAGGCAGAGTTCACCACGCCTCCTGCAACCGCTAAAGTTAGGCCGAACTTTCCGATGGACTCAAACACTTTGGCAGCCATGATTCTTCCTGTTGTACCCACTTACACCTAGGGTAAAAATAAAACAACTTGACACGAGATCCTCAGAGAAAGCCCTCTCTCCCTAGGGCAAAGCATTCACTTTTCAAGATAAATCTTCAAGGATCTACTCCTGTGAGCTCTAAGTTACTCACTGAACACCCCATACTAACACTTGACATCTTGCAAAACGTGGCATCACGTTTGCTTTTGCAGGTGCCTTTCTTTAGAACCATTCAAAGAAGAGTAAGGGATACTTGGCTCATCGTAGGAACGATGCGCCCTACCCACAGAGAACTTAGTACCACAGAAAACCACACTCCCATTTCCTAGCCAAATAGGCCACAAGAGTATGTGCATGGTTGGCTCTGTGCAATTTGGTTTTGGAAAAATAACTCAAGTAATGTACTACAGAGACTATGGCAACAACAAAAAGGATAATTCCTGTTAACATTTAAGTTAGGCTGCCTCCAACAGTGTTATTTAACCTTCAGTTTCTTTATGGAAAGTATTACTGGTGAGGTGCACGAAGAGGTTACACTATTCAGCTGTAGAACCAGGGTTAGAACGAGGAAATCGAATTCTAGAAGGCATTGTAAAACTCCTCCCCATACCTGTTACTAGGAAAGCGGGAGCTGGCAGGGGTGCAGTGAAGGGCTGGAGGTGGGGCTGCGGCGGGGCGGGGTGGGTGGGAGGGAGCACGTAGCTGACAGACTAGAAACCACTCAGCCTTGAACTTTTTAATGCCCCGCCCCTGCGTCGCCCTCGGAGCACTCTTCAAATCCTTCCTCCCCCTTCCCAGGCCTCAACTGTGAGTCTATCCCGTTTTCTCCGCGCACATTTTATCCTCCACTCCTGACACCAAACACCCAGTCCTTTCTATCTGAATTTTTCCTTATCCTGTCCCCTCGCCTTGCACAACCCCTGGTTCGTTCTGGACTCGGCCTTTTCCCCCTTCTCCACTGGGCGTACCCACACGTGCATTCCATGACCCCCACTGCACATAGAGGGCAAAGGAGGATTACAGGGACAAAAAAACAGAGGCCTGCACCACCCCTACCACGCTCACCTGCTTTCACGCTGACCTCCACATGAATTCCCAGACTCGCAAACTGCGCGTGCGCCAGGCAGCTCCTCCCTTTCCCCCGCCCTCTTCAAGATCCGTCCCTTCAATTGGTGGAGCGGAGCGCAACGCATCCTGGGAAGCGTGGTTTGCTGTCTTCCGTGGGCCCTGTAGCTTTCCTGAGGCCAACTACAACTCCCAAAAGGTTATGCAACAGCGGGTCCGAACAGGAAACCTGCTTCCGTTTGGTGGCAACTGAGGCGATGTTGCTGCAAAGCCTTTCGGGGGTTGTAGTTCCTTGGCAATAAATGCACGTGCCTAGTTCGTACCGAGGTAATTGCTAGTAGAGGAGAGGCACTGACTGGATCAAGAGGGAGCTGGGCTTTCGCCACTTGGTGGCGAAAGTAACTGGGGTGGGGGGTGGGGGTGAAGGGGACGGGTGGGCGTTTTGAAAAAGAGCGAGGTGGACTAACGTGTACTGAGAGATTTCTAGGGAAGCTAAGGACAGCCTCAGGGACGTTAAGACTTGGTGCCAGAGCCACTTCGGGACCTTAGAAAGAAGAGACTCCTTCAGTTCTTGCACTATTCCAGCTAAAGGACTTGACTTAGGATCGAAGTCTCCTGCCCACCCCCATACACCTTTTAAGTTGCATTTGAGAAATTGCAAGAACGGGACGGAGAACGTGTACATGTATGCCTTTTCTCGGGTTCACCTGTTGTCAAGAAGCCTTTATTGTTATGTTTGTTGTTCCCTCTCCTATCTTCCCAATACTTTCTTCTCCCTGTGCCCCACTTTTCTCTTTCTTATAATTCTCTAAATGCAAGGACACCCTCTTACTTGAATAAATATAATCCATATCTGCGCTCCAATTTTGCCAATTGAGCAAATAGTGACTTTTATAGCATTCCTCTCCAGGATTCGATACAATCTGAAATGAAGTACTGTGCTTATTTCTCATGGACATGTTACTCTGTAAATACACAACTCTTCATAGAACATGGGCATATGCACACATGCATAAAAGACATGAAACAAGCTGGGCATGGTGGTGCATGCCTTTAATCCCAGCACTCGGGAAGACAGAGGCAGGCAGAGATCTCCAAGAGTTCGAGACCAGCCTGGTCTATATAGCAAGTTCTAGGACAGTTAGGACTATGTAGAGAAACCCTATCTCAAAAAAAAAAAAAAAAAAGGAAAAAAAAAAAAAAAAAAAAAGACAAGAGGAGGCTTATTTGGCTGGAAGGAGGAGAAAGGAGTAGGGAGAGTAGTAAGGGGGGTGAATATAAGTAAAGTACTTAAAAAGTAACAAAAATACATTTTTTTCATCAGGAAAAAAAATAAAATTATGAACAATGTTCTATAACCTGAATGAGGACGGAGCAATGCAAAGACCCTTCTTTCCTAATAAACAATTGAAGAAATAAACCATGCATTTGAATTTTAGTGCTTGCAAAGGCTGTTGGGATCACAAAGGAACGGAAGAGCATTGCGAGTTAAATTTCTGAGGCTGGGTGTGCGCCTCAGTGGCAATGCACTGTCAAAAAAAAAAAAGTACTTATAAAGTATTCAAAATGGGGAGAAGACTGGAGAGGTGAGGTAGCGGTTAGGATCATAGTATTGCTTTTCACGAGGACCTGAGCCTGGATCCCAGCACACAGCAGGAGATTCTCAACCAATTCCAGGGGATGCAATGCCCTCTTCTGGCCTCTAGGGGAGGGGCAATACCAACACACACACACACACACACACACACACACACACACACACACACACACACTCCAGAAAATTGAAAATTTATATTTGCTTAAAGATATTTGGCATTACACCTATTCAATAAACAGTGAGTACTAACTGAAAATAAACATCTTTTTAGCCCCATTTTTACGTCTCCATTTGGAAATAGCAAGATGGAGTTTAAAAAACAAATACATTTGTGGGGCTGGAGAGATGGCTCAGGGGTTAAGAGCACTGGTTGCTTTTCCAAGGGACTTGGCTTCAATTCCCAGCACCTACATGACAGCTCACAGTTGTCTATAACTCCCGTTTCAGGGGGTCTAATCCCCTCTTCTGGCCTCTGGAGGTACCAGGCACATAAGTAGTACCAGACCTGCATGCAGGCAAAACACCCATGCACATGAAATACAGACATTGATTTATTGATTTGAGTGTGTATATGTGTGTGGTCATGTATGGCCACAGTGTACCTGTGGAGGTCAGAGGACAACTCACAGGATTTGGTTCTCTCCTTCCACTGTGTGAGTTCTGGGGATCAAACCCAGGTTGTCAGGCTTGGCAGCAACTATCTTAACCCACTGGGCCATCTTACTGGCCCTAGAGAAGTCAAATGACATGCTATAGTCCCACAGCTGACAAATGGCAGATGTGTTGATACTACAGACTATAATTTAACAAGCTGTGAGACTGCATGGTCAGTAAGAAACAGCTTAGCAATGTTAGGTTTGCACAGAGAAGGCAGTAATTAAATAACGGATGGCGGAAGAGTGTCTCTTTTGCTTTAGTCACTTAGCGCACATATACAAGAAGCCTATTACTTCAGGTATGTTGAATGGCTGGCTAGATGAAGAAGATAGAGACTTTAGTCACATAGAGTTTACCACTCTAGATATGGCTGGGTAGTATCTAGATCATCAGTTCTCAACCTGTGGGTCGCTTCTCATTGAAAATCCTCCATCTCCAAAATGCATTTATGTGATTATTCATAACAGTAGCAAAATTATAGTTATAGCTGGGCGGTGGTGGCGTGGGGCACACCTTTAGTCCCAGCACTTGGGAGGCAGAGGCAGATGGATTTCTATGAGTTCGAGACCAGCCTGGTCTACAAGAGCTAGTTCCAGGACAGGCTTCAAAGCTACAGAGAAACCCTGTCTCAAACAACAACAACAATAAAATTACAGTTATGAAGCAGCAACAAAAATAATTCTATGATGGGAGGGGGTTTTAGCACAACGAGGAACTGAATTAAAGGGTCGCAGCATTAGGGAGGTTGAGATCCACTGGTTGTGGCAAAAACAAATTAGAAATGAAACTTAGATGAAGATCTGAGTAGTTTCATGAAGGATAAGCAGGCAACTGGAGGATGTGGGAATTTTGTGCAGAAAGTTTGGGCAGCAGCAGCAGCAGCAACGTGAACTCAACTGTCTTAAGTAACAAGGAAAGGTGTAGGAAGTCAGTTTCAGGGAAGCTGTTCTGAGGGTGGTTTATTCAGTGGCTCTCATGTTACCAAGTACTCTTCTAATTAGGTGACAAGATCCCCAACAAATTTGACTTAAGAAAGGAAGAGTATTTTGGCTCACCTTTTAAAGACACAGTCCATTGGGCAGCCAAGAACGTCAGGGCGGCAGGAGTGTGAAATATAGTCATGGATGGGGGATGTTCTTCCACATATATGTTTCTGTTATTGATTGATGAATAAAACACTGCTTGGCCAGTAGAGGAAGGAAGATTGTGGGGCTAGGAAATGAGGAAAATGCTGAAGAGAGAAGCAGAGGGTGCTGAGAAGGGAATCCATGTAGAGACCAGGAAGATAGGATGTGCCAGGCATTCCCTGGTAAGATAAGGCCATGTAGAAATACATATATTGGTAGTTTTAGGTTAACAATTAAGAGAGAACTAGCCAATAAGAAGCCCCAGCCATCAGCCAACAGTTTTGTAATTAGTATAGTACCCGTGTGTTTATTTGGGGCTGAAGTTGTTGTGGGACCAGGAGGGAAAGAAACTCCAGCAACATGTCATTGCATCTGCAGGGAGGAAGAAGAGATCAACATTGGCACTCTACTTACTTTCTCCTTTTTATTTAGTCCCAGATGCAGCCTATGGGATAGTGCCATCCACACTCAGGATAGGGCTGCCTATGGGTTAGAACCATCCACACTCAGCATAGGTCTTCTCAGTTAAACCTTTCTGGAAACTCCCTCACAGACACACTCAGATGTGTGTTTCTGTCATGATTCTAGATCTAGGCTAGGTGACAGTGAAGACTTACCGTTGCACCCACCAATCTCACAGAAAATGGGAGGCCTCCATCTGTCAATCCCAACACCTTTAGGTACTGACTCTTGTTTCCACACTTGTCATCTCAAGGTCACAAGATGCTATAGGAGGCTCAAGCTTAATCTCACAATATAACCAAAAGCCAGGAGGCAAGAACAAGGCATGCCATTTTTGGGGTCTTTTTTTATAAGTGAAGTAAAGTTTTTCAGATATGCCCATCAGGCATTCGCTTCTGTTAACTGGGCACAACCATCCCTGACCGTTTCTAGACCAGTTACTGGCAAAAGAACACCGTTGGCATATTGAAACTCAAGGACTCAAGAGGCAAGCTCTGACAGGGGCACTTGACTTCTAAACCTTACGGTCACCAGCACCCTATCAAATCAAAGAGGGCATTCTCCCAGTGAGGAAGGGAGATTGGATATTGGAATTGGAGACAACAGTGTCTTCCAGAATGGTCCATTGGACAAGCTAATCAAGGAAGCCTTTATAAGGAGAAGACACTGAAAGCAGGTCTTTAAAAGGTGAGGCATGGGAAGGGCAGAGGAATGGGGGAGAACTTGGTCAAAAGGATCAGTATGTGTGTGGTAGGCACCAATCAGGACAGGACCAGGAGGTGTGGCAGGTAAAGACCGTGAGAAAAGAGCAGCCCACGGTGCCATCTCCCGTTGATCCCTGTGCATGGAAACAGCAGCAGCAGCAAAAACGGTCAGACATGAGTGAGATGATGCTGGGACATCGCTTCCGAGGAGCTGGTGCCATGCCACACTGCTGTTGGCAGTTGTCTCTTTGTGGGGCGGGGCGGGAAACTAGGGTGTCATCGGAGTTGGCGGGCCGTGAGACGCTGCCTCCAGGCTGTGTGCCTGGAGAACAGGCAGGTGATGGTGAGAGGGACTTGTGTCTCCTCGCAGCCTTCCCTTGTGTTTCAAGGGGACCAGAAGTTGTTCCAAGGAGACTGTGAGTCCTTTGAGCTTCCTCTCAGTCTTACAGGGGCACTGTGTGTAGAGCTGCCGTGGGGGAGCTATTTCTCTGCA